GTAGGGGTGGACAAAATTTTTTGAAAATCGAGTATTCGTCCCGATCCGAAAGTCGGGTATTCGAAAAATCATATACCTATACTATAATGAGACAGAGATCGGGTTTTTCTTTTGTTAAGATCCAAAATTCGGATTTAGATTTAGGTTGATATTCCTAATTCAGATCATTTCTCGCGTATATCCGAATTATAAAAAATTTACCATTGTACCCTTCGATATATAGAAGATAATTACAAAAATACCTAGGTTATAATATTTTACTCACCTCTCTCTTTCTACCATCATTCACTCTCTTTCTCCTTTCCATTATCTCTCTCCTCTGTCGTCCGTTCCGTCGATTCTCATTTTCACTCTCTCTATCATTGGTTTCTAATTTCTATGACTTTTACTTTGGCAACTTTTGGTAAGTTTTTTTTCTTAATTTTTTATTATTATTTCTTTGGATTGGTTATTACAATGACAAAAATTGGTTTGTTGTTAGATTCTCCAGATTATACAGTCAAGGTGAGTTCATGTTTTTGTCGACTCTCATGCTCTCTAAGTCTCTCTTTCTTCTACTTTGTTTGAGTTTGTGTCTCGTGTATAGATTAAAATTTGAAAAGAATATGAAGTTGTACCATGAAACAAGATCATATCCTCTTAAGCACGACATGAAAATATTTAATTGTGTGAGTATGTATATATGTGTGTGAACATTTCAATTGATATGTTGTATTATTTTTGCAGATTTTCCAGTACCTTAAGTTAGTGGAAGTTCTACGATGACAGAAAAATGATATGCTTTAGAGTGAAATGGTAAGTGAATGATAAGCACAACTAATAAACATGATCGGCGTTGGATCATTTATGTCTGGAAATTAACTGTGGAAAAAAATAAATATTAAGTCTCTCTCTTTACTTTTTACTGTTCTTTTTTTGTTCATTTAATTCTAAACTAAATAGGATATGTTGTGAACGTTCTTTGTCATCTTCTTGACCATAGAACCAAGGTTAATATATTTTCCAATAGTTAACATTAAAATATATCCATCATATAGTACATGTCTTTTTTAAAATAATAAAATATATTATTTATCTACAACGATCAATCAATCTCTCATAATTTTTTGGATTTTTATCAGGTTGATTTATGCATGTTTGTTTATTGCAGTCTCTCAAAGGAAACGACCGAGATCCACGAAAGGTCGAAGTCGAAGCTATTTCAAAGCAGAGAGTTTCAGGTTCCACTGACGAAAATATTTTCGTATTAGATTCGATAAATCCGCTAGGCATGTCGACTTCTTCACCATTGAAGGCTAAGCGAGTTGAAAACAAACCGTCTCTGAATTCATCAGAGAGAAAAAAAAAACAATTTGTCCAAAGAGGATACATATTCAACTCCTCCCTCTGTTTATTCTTCTTTGGATTTCTTCCCTCCGTTCTCCATTTGTTCGTTGTATATTTGCAGAATAAATTTAAAAAATTGTGTAACAAATGATGAGATGATAATTAAATTAATTACGTAAAACTGTATGTAAAAATCAAGACCCATCTTAAACTTGAAGAGGTTCTAAACGTGTAAAAAATTAGTTTTTTCTTATATATCCCTAAACCAATTGATTTTTAAGCAAATAAATTACTATTTTAACTACATTATAATCTCATATAACAATACAATATTATCGAAAAATATAAAAAAGTGCATAGATTTTAAAATATAAATATTCTTTTTGTGATTAAATTATTCGTTTGTTAACTCATCTAAACCGAATGTAGTACGATATACCATAAAAAAACAAACGTTAACTGATTAGATTGGGTGTAATTACACATTTGAGGGTGTCGTTGAATATTACACTTATATCTATAATTTTATACAAAAACATGATTTAATTGATGAATTAAAAGATTAGGAGATATGTATATACGTGTAACTAAGGAAATACATATATCATATTGGTGAAGCCAAACTGTGCTACACGGACTCCATTAATTACAAACTAAATTTTTTTTTAATTATTTATGTATCATTTTAAACTACAACATTTACAAACTACTATTGCTCGGACCATTAAAAAAGGGAACATTAACATGAAATAAATACCCATATTCGATATTTTTAGTGTATATGACCAATACCTACAAACTAAAATAAAAGGTGGAGTTCATATAAAAATTAAAAATAGATTAGTTTCATACGGGTGGTTGAACCAATATTATTGTTATGAAATATATATATCATACAAATATGATATAATATTATTTTTTAGTTTTTTAGTATAAAGATGATAAATAATACACTAATCTAGAATTTAGAATATAATGTGACAAATAAAAAAGTAGTAGGATTAGTATTGTATATCATTAATTTGACTAAATTAAATAAATATCTATAAAATTTTAATACGGGTGAGATTATACCGATTTAATATTATACCAATATTTTTATTGTAAAGTGTTATTAATTTAATACATTATTATTGGTTTTCTAATGCCGACCAAATTTAGATTATTGTTTGAAATTATACTTGGCAGATTATTAGTAACTACATTCTTCAAGTAACTCCGGATTTCCAAAAATATAACTTTTTCATTGAGTCGTAAAAGATAACATACTATCATCTCGATATTATTCATTTATTTTTATTTTAAATATTTTTATTTATTTGGCTATATACGTTATATTCACATCTAAATATATATATATATTCATTTCATTTCGTTTATCTTCGTTTGCTTAGCAAATTAAGATACTCTACCAAAAGAAAAAAAATGATAAAGTTAACTCATTTTTCTAAATAAAATTATTTTTAAAATAATTATTTTTCTTTAACATCAATAATATAAGTTTTTTCTGTTATTTTTATTTGGAGAATGACAAATTTTTCTCACAAAACATATACAATTATACAAAATATTATAAAATCAATAAAAAATAACTACTTATAAGTGACAAATAGATACATAAATATGACGATCATTAAAGTTTCGATTTTTGATAAATATCGTTACAATCTAATAAATAGTTTTTCAACTGATGTTTGAATTAACTTATAAATCTAAAATGAGTCTAATGAATATTGTTAAAATTGTTAAGGTTTTAATGGTGTAATATGAAATGTTAATTTAATCGAATATGAGACTCATAGGTGCCAATGAATTTTTTAAAAGTTTTTTTAGAAATTTATTGGATCGGTCTTGAAGTGTATACTTCAAACAAAAGGTCATTCGCGTCCAACCATATTAGAGTCTGGATCTGGATCTGGTAAGTATCATTTTATTTGAGACTCTAATTTCTATATAGTTTACAAGACATATGTCACATATGAATAAACTAAATCAACTTTTTTATTATATAATCAAAGAGCTCAGTATGAGTCAAGAAGGATCATATAAAATAAATTGATATGATAGGAACAATACAAAATAAATTTAATAAATTACAGATCAAACTAAATAAAAGGATCTAATTAAATTATGCTCAACTCATATATATTTAAATTAGAAGTGTATTGATTTCATACGGATTGTTGAACGAATATTATTATGATAAAAATATATATAGCACATAAATAATATATAATCTTAGTTTTTAGATTTTTTAATACAAAGGTGGTCAAATCTTAATTTATAAAAAAAATAATATACAAATATAGAATGTAATGAGACAAATGAAAGAGTCGTAAGATTACTATTTTATTTCATTAATTTGGTTAAATTAAATAGAAATCTATAAAATTTTAATATTGGTGAAATTGTACAGATTTAACATTATATCAATGTGTTATTCTGAAGTCTTATTAATCTAAATCCATTATTATTTGATTTCTAATACCAACTTAGTGTATATTATTGTTTAAATTTGTATTTGCCACATTCCACTATAATCATTTTCTTTAGATCCTCTCGATTTAGCAAAAATGACTCTTTCACCGAGTGATAAAAAATTCTAAAATCAATATTCTAATATTCTACATTTCAACCCTTAATTATAATAAAATTTTATATTATGAGCCACGAAAATACAAACATAAAAACTATTCACATTCTCTTTTAAGAAAAGATTTTACCGTTATCTCATTTTTCAAAAAATATTTTATCATTTTGATTTAAAGATATGAATTATAAATTTAAAAATAAAATATAACATATTTAATTTTAAAACTAATAATAAATTTTTAAATTTTATTTGATATTTATAGTCAGTGTGATGCGTGCGGGTTATTACCTAGTATATATATATATATATATATAACATTAGAGAACAGTTATATTCCGTGATCACCGTTCATTACAAATAATATAACGAAGCCTGTTCCCCTCTTCAAAGGAAATGAGTTGAGGAGAATCAAACTATTATAAGAACAAATGCATCACATCATCCAGACCAGATTTACAGCCAGATCCAAAATCACTCTATGACGTATGCCATATAACTCGAGTGGACAATAAAACCCGAAAATCGACTTCACAATAAAAACGGGTCGAGATTTCAAAAATCTGTAAAGATTTTGTATCCAATCGACTTATATATCTTCTTACGAATGTACAATCCATAAGATAAAACTTGTCAAGGTCTGTCCGAAGGCGAGTCGGATAGATTTCACGTGTGTTAATTCAGAGTTCAAGGGCTTAGGACTTAGGAGTAAGGAGAAGTCTGACCTGCTGAGAAATAGGGCGTCAACCCAAGTTTATGTTATGCCTCAGCTTGTTTCACTTGAAATGGTTTCAAAGAAGGCCGAGCGTTTTAAGCTGGTGAACATGCTCAGGTGGCAGAGGTGGAGGTGACCATTCAGAACCGGTCATCTCTCCATCAACATCCTCCACCACATATTCCTATTGGTAAGCATACAAGGAAATTCAGAAGGAAGAGTAATGTTATAACTAAGGCAAGTGACTGCTAATGCTACATATACACATATTCCCACAAACGTAGAGTTTGGGCACGACAAAGTAGCATTAGATATGGACATGGAGAGGGGCGTAAACAACCAACTGACCAATTCAGAGCAAAACTCACCTTTGTAAGCATTCTTTTAGCAAGTATGTGGTAATGGCGCTGCCAAATGCGTTGTCCAACCATCGTGGCCACGAGTACACTGTAGAATATGCCAATTACGGTAAATAGACCGAGAACTATCAATGCCATTATGAAGAGCAATGGCAATCCGGCTTCTCCGGCACCACTTAGACAACCACCGCATTCGCTGGCTGCACTTGCACACCCTTCAAAGCATGTGGTGCAGTCCGTCCACATGCAAAGAGTCCCTGGTAGATGACAGTCTGTGCATATCCTGCGATTACATAATACATCCAACCCAATGAATAGATCGAATCAAAGCCTGAAATCATATAATGCTTTCAATCTCCTCTGACTGATTACATTAAACTTCACACCTCATTTCACCTTGATAAACTCTGTAATTAGGAAGCTTATTGGGAGCTTAAGGGGAAAAAAGAGAGTCAAGATTGTTCAAACAATTTATATCATTGTACTAGACCAATTCAGTTTGGCACCAAAGAACTACCTTAAGTGGGCAAACTAACTGCTCTCTACGGTCTACGGCCTCAAATTCTCAAATAGCAGGAACAAGGAGAGTAAACTAGTGGGTGCGTTTTGGCAGGTCATAAACTTGTACCTAAGGACATCTAATTGGCAAGCAAAATCTTGAAGCTTTCCTTTTACCAAAGAACACAACTATTGAGTCATTCAAAACCTATTCTTATTTCACATAATTATTTTATGAAACTAAGTTCAATCTTTGAAAGGAACTTTTTCTTCCATCATTCATACGACAAGCCATCAACTTTTTTCTCCCCATAGCTTTCCTCTTTACTTCTGATTTTAATCCACAAAGTTTCTCGATATGATTTAATAATACATACTAATCCAAAACCAAGGAAAAATATGCCAAAAACCGCAGGTATATAGGTCATCCCTTGAACTATCCACTCATAACTAAGGAGTAAGGAGGAGCATATCCGGACATCAAAATATCAGAAATCTTATCCCAAAAACCAACCAAAATCAAATAAACATAATGAAAATCAAGGTTTTGCAGCTATACCCAGGGTGACAGCAGCAGAGGCATAATTCTCGGCAAGGCTGAGCTAAGTCATTCCGAACTCTTCGATCGTAACAAGTTATGAAGCATCCAGATAGACCCAACAAAGCAAAGAACAATAAAGCTCCTGAACAATAACATGCATAGTCGTGTGAATGCACTAATAGAGTAGTTGTAATTAAAGAATCATTCAGCAGAATTTCATAAAAATATGAAACCTAGGCAGGGGCTACATAAAATATAGAACAATCAGTTCCAAAAAAGTTGATTTGACAGCTCTCATTTAGTTCAATATCCTACACGGTATTTTGTTGGTACATGATTAACCCTCCCACCTCTTGATATAACATCTAAGCTGCAAGGATGAAAGAAGCTTATTTCTCTTCTAGCAAACCGGACATGCGGAAAATAATATATACGACTATATCATCTAAGAGAAAACCCTTTAATTCCAAAGCACAAATTTAATCTACATTAATTTGGATGTGTGCACGGAATCAAACCCAGCATTTCCAAGCCTACAGATAATGGGAAAGCACACGTCCTACCTCTGGGAATTGGAAGAAATAGCACATATTAAGTTATCTATACAGAGATGCAGGAGCATACTGAATACAATAAGAGTTCTAGGGATCATACCACACATGTAATAAAACGTGACCTCACTGTCAAAACCCCAAATATGACGAAGCCATGATTTCTGGTAACCATCTACAAAATAGACCAAGTAGCCCAATGCAGCAATTACCTGAGAGAATATGTAGTCATTTAGGAAGCTCAAATGGGATCTATTAGCAAACACCGAAATTGAGCAAAGAAATAAAATAAAATAAAATAAACCCAGATGAAGAACGAGAAATTACAATCTGGACAGCAAGAAATATGAACAAAATATCTCGGGTAACAAAGAACCGAAACTTCAATGTCCGCCATTTCCTATCTGCGGCGCAATGAACTCTCAGATAATACCTGGCCTTGCAGGTTGTGCAGTGTGCAAATGCAAACCCTTCCTGCAATAAAATGATATCGTTGCTGCATTGATATTGTTATCCATGATACCATCCCGGGATAGCTAGTGACTGTCAATTTATAAACTAATGGCAGAGAACTTATTAAGTTAAGAAAGCTACACAGATACCTGCTTTATGAAAAAGAAATAATGTCGTTGTCACTCATGAATCATATTGACATAAACCCAGTAAAGAATATGCATAAAATTCTGAAACCATGCTTCTTTATCCTATTTATGATCCAAATCTTTTTGCCTCAAGCCACAAAAGTGCAATTTACACAAGAGGAACATTCCTTTCAGCACCTTAGATTAGAAGTCGACCATGAAAGAGAATACACAGGTATTTAATATTGGACTATAATGGAATGGAACCAAGAAAATACAGCAAAGTCTCAACAGCTCGTTAGTATGTACGGATCTCCAGTTGCGCATACGAATGCCAAGCCCCAAGCTTGGATCAAAATTGAGATAAAAGAAAAATTTGTATACCTTGACAGATCTCCAATGATCCAAACATTCCCTATGTACATACATTGACGTTCCTTTGCATTTGCATGGAGCTATGAAATCCCTACCTGACAAACATAGAAACAAGTAAACAGTTAGCTTGAATTACACAGCTAGACCACAAGAATCAGCATTTAGGTGCAGTTTGAGTTAACTACCCATGTCTCTTTCTTCACGAGCATTAGTCACTCAAAACTAATACCGCATATCAATCGTGAGTATTAGCACCCAGTAAACACCTCAATCATTTCTACAAGATACGGCCAGACTCCAATTCACGAAAAACTGTCGACTTCCCCCCCCCCCCCCAAATCCCATCAAAAGAAAAAGGACAGAACCAATCAACGATCACATGTAAAGGGAACGTGAACCGGCGAAAGGAGAACAAAGGCAGTGAAATAAGGGAGGAAGTGTACCATCGGATTCAAGGCAAATTCGACATTGAATCTGCTCACAGGGCCCCGCTTCGAGATCGATATCGCTAGGCTCAGCCATCGGAGACGGCGGAACCAGCGGCGAAGACTCCGATGGGTCCGCCATCCGATCGCGAAACCGTGGAGAGAGGAAGCTTGGACCCGATTTCGTATTGGATGTGTGCCGTTAAAAGGAGAAGAGAGATGACCCGGCCGTTGGGTTTAATTAGAGAGGATTGGACCCGATTGCGTTTTATATTTTTATTAAAAGCCTTTGAATTACATTTTGGTACTAATCCATTGATTAGACCTTCTTACACCAAAATAGAGATTTGATAGTCATTCATTTTTCTGCTTAGGCTTTAATTAAAACTTTTATGGCTTGGTTGACAAAAACAAGTCGAAATAAAAAATAAAATGTTACCATTGGAAAAAGAAAAATGTCCGAGCCCGGGTTCGAACCGGGGACCTCTAGTGTGTGAGACTAGCGTGATAACCAACTACACCACCCGGACGATTGGATTTACTTGCAAATATTAGGAAATTCTTTTAAAAATATCTTTATTATGCACTTTCCCTGCCAGCTTTCCTTTCGCTTGCCCTACTGCCGAGTTGTTCTTTTCGATTGCCGTCAACCATGGCGAAAGACAAAGAGAAGCGGAAAAAGAAGAAACACAGCAAGCCCGAGAAGGAGAAGGTCAAGAACGTGGTGAAGGAGAAGAAAATCTCTAAGAAGCACAAACACAAATCCGAAAAGCCCGAGAAGAAATCGAAGAAGAAACACAAGAAACCAGAGAAATCTGGAGTGCCTGAACACGAAGTAGTCTCTCTGGTTTATCCTCCTTCCACTCCAACCCCAATTTCTACAAACGATTCGGACTCGGGTTCCGAGTATGATCCTAAAGACCTCAGGCAGCTGTTGGAATCCTAGTCGAAGGAAGAACTCGTCGACCTCATCTGCACGAATGCCGAGAAGGGTTCTCGGCTAATCTCCGCCGTCCATGAGTTGGCGGACCGCAACGTCGCTCAGCGGAAGATATTCGTGCGCGGTCTCGGATGGGATACGACGAGTGAGAGCCTCGAGACGGCCTTCGAATCCTACGGTGAAATAGAGAAGTGCACCGTGATCATGGACAAGGATACGGGCAGAGCTAAAGGGTACGGCTTTGTGTTGTTCAAGACGCGTAAGGGCGCGATGAAAGCACTGAAAAGTCCACAGAAAAATATGTATAATCGCACCGTTGTCTGCCACCTCGCGTCGGAGAGGCCACCTGGGGTTGGAAAAGGGCGGGAGATGGTTGAGCAGGTGAAAATCGACTTGACCCAGATGGGTAATAGTCACAGCGAAGTGTCCGGGCTCGAGCTTTCTCATGGGCATGTAGTCAACAAAGCGCCGCAACATCATACCGGGCCGGTAGTTTTGGCCGGACAAAGCATGCCCTTTTTCGGACAGCCTTCTGGTTTTAACCCAATGTATGGTGCAGTGATGGGTAATCAAGTTGTTTCTGGTCTACCGAACTATGCTGTATTTGGTTCTGGTATGATGAACCAGGGCTTGATGGTGCCACCGAATCACATGGGTATGGCGAGCCAAAATTTTGCTGATGGAAGCGGCGTCGGTGTCGGCGAGCGAGCTTGGTATCTGAGGTCATAGACTCATAGAGATGGAGTTGCTGGTTAGCGACATTCTAGGGAATCGCCTGACAGAAATGTGGTATGGCTACGTTATCTTAGTTGAGAGCTACTTATGTTGTTATCTAGGATTAGCCTATTGAACCTTGCATAAGCTTTGGTTGGGATAAAGTAAAGGTTTTTTTTCCCTGTTGCTTCTCAGATATGCTTCGTTTTGTATGAACCTTGATTCTCATTCTTGCAACTCTCCATATCCAGAAGCTTTTACGTTTCAATATGGTTTCTGTCTCTCGCTCCTGGTTTTGATCCTAGATTTCCTATTTTGAGGATTGGTTTCTTCAAGCCCCCATTCTTGTTTTGCATGGCCTTGTGCACTCTGGGAAGCTGTCGTCCACAAGTGCATTTCTTCTCCTCTTGCAAAAAGAGGACCTTTTAGTTCGTTTACTGTCAAAATGTCGTCGTCGTTGGGAAGGAATTAATCAGGGCTGGACATGGAGGGGGACAACGAACTTCTGATGTCAATTTTTTGAAGACAGATTTAGAAAGAAGACGGCATTTCTTCTAGACAAGTTAGAGAGAGGGGGGGACTTGCCAGAGAGGAGAAGAGGAGAGCGGGGTGGAGCGTCGTAGCGTGTTTGGCCTCCATCCTTCCCTTCTTCCCTGTGGTTGTCCAAACAACACAGAATTGCCCTTTCAGTACACAAAAAAGACAAAATTCAGAGACTTTTTCACTCTCAGATGGGGAAATGAAAAAAGGATAAGGGAGAAAGAGTACCTGACGAGGTAGGAGGAGAGATCAAACACATCTTGTAAGCTCTTCGAGCAGAGAGAGAAGAGACGATGGAGAACAAGAGGAAGCTCACTCACGGATATAGAGATGTAGTGTGAGAGAGAGAGACAGAAGATGATATGAGATTTTTTTTAGGAATCAAGAGAGAGAGAGAGAGAGAGGGCTGCCCGTAAGTGTAGTTGAGAGTGAAGGGCAGAACGGGCAGATGACATCATTCACAAATATCACACCTCATTCCTCTCTCTCTCTCTCTCTCTCTCTCTACCCTCATCATCATCAAGCTCTCCTTTATTCCCACCCCACATTTATTTATATACAAACAATCGATTTATATTTTTTACTAAATAACCCCAAACTCCTAATTTAATTTCCTTCATGCCCTAAACTCAAACATAACAAAAAAAAATATTAAAAAAAGGAGGAAAATAATGTATGAAGGGAATTATGGAATCAAACCCCAAGTGATCAAGTGGGCAAACTAACTGCTCTCTACGGTCTACGGCCTCAAATTCTCAAATCAAACAGCCAAGCTGTAGTATCCCTTCTTCCATTCTTTCCCCACCAAACAGAACCTATTCCCTTCTCTCTCTCTCTCTCCATATACTCTTTTTCCTTGGGTTCCCCACTCACTCTCTCTCTTCATAAATTCCCCTTTCCTACAATTATTCACAGACAACGAATGATGATGGTATGGTGTCATGATACAATTAAAATCGAGATTTCGACTTTGTTCTTTTTATTTATTAAAACCCTTAAACAAACACCACATAACAAGACTTCTTGGATATATTCTTCCACCTCCCTCTTGCCTTCACAATCTGGACATGGAGTAGTCCAGTGCCTCTGCCAGGAAATCTGCAGATACAACCCAAACTTAGCCACGAATTTATTTTTCTTCCCATTTTTGCATGGCCTAGACGTAAAACTGAGAAACTAGAGGGTATGTTGTTGCAACAGAGAGGGAATTAATGAGGAAAACGAGGCCCTGTTACCGGCATCATCCTTAGTGAAACACATGGGCGGTTTTATCCTGAAGACGTTTCCATGAAGTCCTCCTTTCCCTATCAGTATCCCGAGCTCTTCATGCGGAGATCAAGGTAAAACCCGTTAGCCAAATTGATAGGACTGCCAATTATGGCTCGAGGGTTTTCGACAATTGTTATTACCTCTAAGTTGCTCGAACAAGACAGCAGTTTCAGCCTTTGCTGGTGTCTTGTTCTTCCTGTCGGTTACGAGCTCCACCCCAACCATCAATCCCCTCCCTCTCACATCTCCAATGACTGATCACAGCAAAACCAGAGTTTGAATATGTTGCCAAACACATCTTTGATCTCTGGAACTAGCAGCGAGACCCAGACTGGGAGAAAAAACTTACGGTCATGTCTTTGCTGAAGATCTCGCAAGCGTTGAATAAGGTGTGGACCGACATCAGCACAATGTGATTGGCGCTTCTCCTTGTCTATCACATTGAGAACTGCACGCCCACCAGCTGAACAAACAGGGTTTCCTCCGTATGTATTGAACTGAATTTTCGAAGCCAAAACACTTGCTATTTCTGGTGTAGTCACCACAGCTCCTAGTGGCAATCCATTTCCAATTCCCTGGAACAATTATACATGGAATCAATGCAAGGGAAGGTTAGAGATTAGAATCCATACAGTTTGAGTTTTTGTTAGGACCTTTGCCATTGTCACTATGTCCGGAATGACATCTTGTGTCTGAAAGCCCCAGTAGTGGCTTCCTGTCCGACCAAATCCAGTTTGGACTTCATCAGCGATGCATACACCACCGGCCTTTCGCACAATGTCATAAACCTGCTTCAAGTACCCAGGAGCCAACTCCACAGCTCCTCCAACCCCCTAAAGCCAACACAACAGTCAGCAGCTCGGTGAACAGCCTTGGCCGACGGAGTGGTAAAACGAAAAGCAGTAAAACCATTCACTTCACAGTTCTAACAAACCTGGATGGTTTCCGCTATAAACCCAGCCACTTTGCCTGAAGTGCCATATTCGATGTGATCTTGCACATCCTTAGCATAAAGTGAAGCATCAGAGCCGAAGATCCCACGGTATGGATCGGGATTCATGGCGTGATGGATCTCACCCTGTAAGATACCAGAGCGGGTTGGGAAACAACGGTTACAAACTGGTGGTTGCAGAGAACTAATATCATTGCCAGGTAAAAGTTTGGACAAGACTTGACCGTTATCAACATCATTCTGGTGGACCTACCAAGCGAGCAAAAAGACTTTTCTTGCAACTACAGATGTCACCATCCTGTGCCTAAACCCCAGAAGAACCAACGCCAATCGACTAATATATGTTTTGGAGGAATGAAATCTCGATTGTTTCGCATGTGAACTTCTATAAAGATTTCAACACGTTTTTCATGAGGCGAACTCTTAGAAGCCAAGTCCATGAACAAACCTGTGGTAATGGGTACTTCCATGTGTTTAGAGCCGTTAGCCCGATGGTATTAGAACTTCCACCGTGATAAGCGTTTCTCAAGGAGATCATCTCAAGATTACCGGTGTATAGTCTAGCCATCATCATCGCCAACTCATTAGCTTCAGAGCCAGAATTCACAAAGTATACAACCTGCATCCGAGGCAAGACTGTTAATTCTTTACAAGCTTGTCAGCAACCTAACAATGTAAACCCAAAGAGGACATCAAGCTTTTCACTCAAACAAGGGGTACCTTGAGATTTCCAGGCATTTTAGCAGCTAATGCCTCAGCAAAATCAGCGATGGCATGGTGCAGGTATATGGTAGTAGCATGTTGGAGAAGCTTGCTCTGTTCCGTGATAGCATTTAGGATGTCAGGATGGCAATGCCCGCATGAGACGGTGACGATTCCAGCGAATGCGTCCAGATATCGCCGCCCTGACTCATCAAACAAATACTGCATTTTCCCTTCAACGATATTGAGCTGCGACAAGGGGGAGAGAGACTTGATAAACACGATGCTGACACAGTTCACCAAAACAGGTAACTTTTTTTTTTTTTTAAGAAATGTTAATCACCAAACAGGAAACTTAAATTAGTCAGACGCAAATCTGTGAAGCCAACGGAATTGACAAGAATCAGAGCAATTAGAAACCCAGATCAGTTAGAAGCTTGGCGATCGAGCATCATCTTCGTGAACCAAGAGTTGCATGAACTACAAACTAACAAATCCAAATCCAGCCGTTTTCAGACCCACAGAAATCGCAAATCGACGCACCAAACAGATCAAAGTCTCAAACCAACGAAACAATTTCAGCGAAAAACATCTAATTGACATACGGGCTTTTGGTAGTAGTGGAAGAGAGAAGGTCCGAGGAACTTCTTCCGCTTCAGGAGAACCTCATCGCCGGAGGGACCTCTGTACGGCCGAGGCTGGTAATCGAACGGCGGGAGCCGCGGCGGAGCATCGGCGAAGGAAGGAGAAGTGGAGAAGTAACCGGAGAGAGAGATTCCAGGCTGATTATGACGGAGAGCGGACTTGGCGTTGTCCACGGTTCTCTTCAGGAGCTGCCACCGTAACGCCATTGATGTACCGATCACAACCTGTGAGAGAGAGAGAGAGAGAGAGAGAGAGAGAGATCTTGAAGATGACAGTGAGCCAACTCCAATCGACACGTTACGTTTATAGTGCATTACTCACATAAGGCAACAAATCGAGATTTTGTCGGAGCAAGAAAATTCGGTGAAATTGGCTAAAAATGAAAAGTTTTTCGCAAGTTGTTCTTTTTTTTTCCGCCACGTTTAGTAAAAAAAAGGAACAATATCAACTTTTTTATCTTAATATAAAAAAAAGATAGAAGGTTGATAATATACCTCTTTTTTTTACAGTAAATTGCTCAATTTACTAAAGTAACCTAATTCCCTAAAATTCGGCATCTCACATTTAGTTATTCCTCTCATATATTTTTTCGTTCGATATGTATTTATTTTAATGATTGAATATTTTTATTTCAATAAGATAAAAAATTACAAAATATGATATTGTTTTTACTTAATTTTTTATTTCAACAAAATATGAAATTAGATGAGAATCAGTAAAGAGCTTTTTTTATAAAAAAAAAATATTCTAAAAAAATTAACGTGGTAATTAGGGTCAATGATAGATTAATGAAAAGGATTTGAGATTTATCGCGATTACGGCAGTTTCACCGAATGATAATGACGTGTCAATAATATGATTCGAAAAGATTCCTTGTGATAAGAAATTTTGGGTGGAGATTCCACGTGAGTTCGATGCAACTGACTCATATCTGTCCCTATCTGTATTGGATTTGGATCCTAAGAGTTTATGATTATAAAATGACAAATAAAAAAAAAACAGGAATTATAATATTATGTAATGAAAATGGGAACGAAACATCTTTTAATAGGATTATCATCCAATTAAAATAAACAACGTGATGCATTGCGTGGATCTGACGAGGCAAAGCTACCATGAAATGATTATCAAAAAGAAAAACATCCAACTTAGAAGCTTTCTATTTCCAAAACAATCGAGTTTTTGTCTTAAAGATAAATTCTTATTCATTTTATTCAACCGAAAAAAAAAACATAATATTTTTTTTTTGAGGGATCATCAGGAACAAGATCTTCTGTCCGAAACTGAATCAAAAGAAGAAAGAATAGAAAAAAACCATGTCAATATCCAGCGGGAAACCCTCCCTTTCTCGGATCACTGACGGCGACAAGCTCACTAACGTCGCCATGTGAATTTCCCGAGGAACCATCGAGTTCTTGAACCACCAGCTGAGAAATCGTCCCTCCCGGGATCTCCTGCAGGACATGTCCCTTCTTCCTCAACCCATCTCTTATGTCTTTAGGAACCTCGAAGTGGTCGTTGTACGCCGTCGTCCAGTTCTCGTAGAACACGTTATTCGGTATCAGCTGTCACCAAAAGAAAGCCGTATCAATACGAGGAACGATCGGTCAAATGTCACGTGGAGGATCATTCACAGAAAGAACACGAGAACCTGGTGGTAGATCCTCGGGGCCAAGACAGAGGAGAGAGGATCCATCTTCAAGAAGAAATGGTTTATGAAAACCTCTGTCGTTCCGGCAATGATGTTGGCTCCACCACTCGCACCTACTGCAGCTTTCACCTTGTTATCCTGCATCAATACAGATCATCATAGTTTTAGTGTATGAATTCAGAATCTGGTTCATGGCAACGGCATCGAGGATTTGGGTTAAAAAATTGCCTTGAGAACAATGGTGGGCGCCATAGAGGATAAGGGTCTTTTCCCGGGCCGGATGAAGTTAGCAGGCGCGGGCGGTGGCACGTCTTTGCTGTTCACTTTGCTCGGGACGGAGAAATCGTCCATTTCGTCGTTCAGGACGATTCCCGTGCTCGGAGAAAGAACAACCGCACCAAAGTATCTGTTTATAGTACTCGTCATCGAAACCGCGTTCCTCTCTTGATCTATTATGGATAGATGGCTCGTCCCATGATCGTTGATCTGATTCCACCTATGACAAAGTTTACGTCGCGTAAATTACAATAATATTATGGTAATCTTCTAGAATATTCTCTGTATCTCTCCTAAAGAGGCGTCGGGGTCGGATAGATAACCTGCCGCCATAGTGACTCGGATCGAAGGTTCTGTTGTCGTTGATGGTTTTCTTCAACTCCTGGGCAAATTTCGGTGACATCATATCCGAGACAACCTTTGTAACATCGACGAAATCTGGATCCCCGAGGTTCATTCTGACCGCAAACGCGTGTTTCAGAGCTTCTACTAATCGGTGAACCCCGAGAGATCCCGAAACACCTGACGGGACCCCATATTGAGCGAGGATATTCAGAATCTGAAAAAACACCAGAACATTTCACATTCACCGGTTTTCAGTTCTCACCCGCTGAAATATCGACGTTTTAACCAAAAAAGAAAAAGAAGAAAAGCCGAGCCAAAGAACTCACAAGCATCATTGCAGCACCGCCAGAAGACGGTGGAGGCATTGTGAGCAATTTGTAACCAAGAATGTCTCCAGACAACGGTTCTTTCACTTGAACTCTATAACTCCTCAGATCTTTCATCGTTATTATCCCGCCGGCCTTACGAATATCCCTCACCAGGTTAAGCCCTACCGTCCCGTTATAAAATGCCTTCGGACCATAGTTACCTATTTGTCGAAGTGTCAAAGCCAGTCTCGGGTTACGGACTATCTCCCCGGCTTTCTTTAAATCCCCATTCGATGCGAATATCTCGGAGAGTCCCTTGTCAGCCAAGATATCTGATTTAGTTGCATCCATCTGCATATAGAGGTACCGAGAAATCCTGAATCCTCGACCAGCGAGTTGCTCGGCTGGCCTCACCAATCGTTTCCACGGGAGCTTCCCGTGTCGTTTCCAAGCTTCAAATAGGCCTGCAACTTCTCCAGGGACAGCCACTGATAAGGCACCTTTCGTCTTCGATGTATCGTTACCTGCGTACATATTCTGCACCAGCAACCAAACCCATAAACGATCAGTCTTTCGTTTTCTCAGACGTTTGCCAAGAATCTGGATTTTGATCTTGCCACGACAAGAAAATGTACGTTTCAGACACGCTCTAGCACATATTACAGACCCAATGCTGCAAAACTGAAACCTCAGAAACGTTTCTCGGGAAGCAAGATAGAAGGAAAGAGTACCTCGGAGGCCAGGAGAGGAGCGGTTTCTCTGGAATCATAGGCAAGAGCCTTACCATTAGCAAGCCTTACTACCATAAAAGCACCACCGCCTATGCCACTGGACGCTGGGCTAACCACCCCCAAGCAGAGAGCAGAAGCCACGGACGCGTCAATAGCGTTCCCTCCGGACCGGAGGACTCTCATCCCTATCTCAGAACACCGTCCATCGTCCGTTGCGACCGCCCCACGGTACTTAACGATACGATTCTTGCTGTCGCCCTTTGGACCGTGAAGAGCCGAGATCGGATGCAGAAGTAGGAGGAGGAAGAGAACGGTCGCTGCCCTCACCAGAGCCATTGCTGATATCAATGAAACGAAATGAGATATTTTTTTTTTGTAGGGTTTAGAGACTTGCAGTTCAAGTAACATAGAGAAGATGGGTTTGGTCTGACTATATTTGCGGATATTTTTGGAAGGTTGACTGAAATACAGATTGACGAAAAGTAAAACAGAGGAACACGTCTTGAAAATTCACCGAAGGAAAGGAAAGGAAAAAGACAAAACTTTGACTTTGCTATTGTAAGTTGTAACAAGACATATGTAACTCCCAACCGATGTGGGTTTCAGAAACCGTCAGGGGTTAAATTGTCAAATTCGAAACCTTCCTACTTGGAAAGTAAATATCTGAAAGTTGTGGGGCAAAACAAAACAAAGTGAGCAGAAAAGAGAGAGAAGTTGCAGCGACTTTTCTTCTGTTGGGTCTGATCTGAGGTAAGTAGGTGCAGAGATTAAATACGAAAAGGAGATTTCATTAAGGTTATCTAAGACTAAGATCCACCGCATATTAATCCTCGTACTAATTGCATTATCCTCTGATTAATCCCAAGAGATTCAAGGCCTCAGACTGGGAAAAACATCAGATTATGGAATTTTCACGTAATCGCTACAAAAAAAAAATGGAAGATGAGAAACAAAAAAAGAAGAGGAACTCACAGTCAGAGATGATGAGACGGCGTCGTAGGGCGTTGTGGGTTCTGCATCGGCAACGAGGGAGGGCGTTAAATAGAATACGAGAAGAAGATGGAAATGCCGGAAAAATGGACCCAGGGACCTTCTCGGGAAGATTACCGCGTTACCCCTTTCTCTCTTTGAAATTCAAGATGGTGACCTCTTCGTGACGAGTAGGAATCTTAGCCAGCGGCGGATATAGAAAAATTTTGAATTAAAAGAATATATACAATACAAAAAAGTTAATAAAAATATATGGTATATTTTTTTATTTAATTAAAGAGAAAAATAAAAATTCAAAAATAGAAAATAAGAAGAGAAAAAAGAAAAAATATAGATGATATAGATTTGTTTATTTAATTTTGTTAGATAACGTTTTAATATACATTCAAAATTAACAACAATGGAATCCACAATCAAATTACAATGGGCTAGTTTTTCAAAATCTTTAATAAATTTTATAAATATTTAAAAAGAATAAAATTCAGTGGGACGCCTGATCTTAGTCAAAACGTTGACTTGTTATTTTAAAATTTAAATTAAAATAAATACTAATACGTATTACAATAATAATATTCTGGTTTGAATTATTTTGCGGGTTGCTAAATATAATTATTCATTACGGAACCACATGCCTTGTTCATTTTCCTTTCCAAATTTTTATTTGACTTCTGATTGATTCGAAAAATATCTTTTCTTTTGTACGAATTCAAAGATATGCCCTCCGGAGGACCTGCTTGTTTGCTCGCCGTGGATGATCAGCCAAAGTGATATGTCCCACAACTGCTACCAAATTGCTCGGCTAATAGTCCAGGTGATAGTCTATGAGATTTGGCGTGAACGAAATCTTAGAATCTTTGAAGGCAGGAGAAGGACGTTGCATGAGTTGCGGATCCACATCAAACACCTGATTCGCGACAACATTCTCTCCACTCAAAAGGGGCGATATGGCATCAGTAACATTCTGTTACAGAATTGGTATTTCCTTTGTGGTCTTAATGTAGTCAGAATGATTAACGCAATGCTTCTGTAATTAGCTATTGATTTTTTGATGTTTTGTTATCATGGGTTCTACGGTTTGGGACTGTCGTTTTGATTGCAATCAAGGATTGATTTTGTAAACACTATTTTTGATAATATTATAATCACATTCATACCCAAAAAAATTCAAAGATATGCATATCTAGTTGAAATTCTCCCTTCAAGACAGAAGTCTATATATAATTATATATATATATAGATATGTACATATTCTTGGGCTCAGCATTTTAAGGTCCACAATCCTAGCACTGAGAGGGGGCCGAGGTGTCCTCTTTTGGTTGGTCACAAACCATGATCTGACCAAAAAATTCAAATTTACGGAATATTCGGACTTATGCATATATTACACTTGTTATAAAGTTGAAATATTTATTGACTTTTTCAAAAATCAAAGCACGAAACCAATGCCTTTTTTTTAAATAAAGTGCATCTGGTCAAAACTCCCAAAAAAATATTATTTTCAAAATTAAAAAAAACTTTGACACAATCTTGATATGTGATTATTTAGGTCAAGTGGGTATCAGTATCTCTATGTAATTTTTTCCGCGTAACTATATAATGGTCATTGGTTTTTTTTAATATTCGGGTAACTATGTATAGGCCAATCATTCTCGAGGTCATGGGTTCGATTCCACTGGTAGGAAGAGATGTAATTTTTGGATTAAAATGATTTTTATACAAAGACTGATTCCGAGACTAGGGTGGATGTAGTCGGGTCGAACCTCCGAGAACCATATGATTATAAAAAAAAATGCAGAGGGCAGGTTCGTCATTTTGGTCAATTTCCTTTATCCCTGCAAGCTCAACTCCAACGCGCTCTCGTCCCCATCCAAATTCAAAAAAGCTCTGTTTGAATCTTCTCTCTCCTGAATTCTAGGGTTCCGAATTTCGTTTATTTCGGTTTCGCGATACGAGATTAGTTCGCTTTCAATCCGGTAAGTGTAAATGTCTACATGTTAGTTCACCGAATCGAGCCCTAGGTGTTTGTGAGGACCTACATAGACCATGGCGAGGCGAAGGGCCGGAAAGCTTGCTAAACCCATTGAAGAAGAGAAGAACAATGGCCAGAGCGACAAGGACGAGAAAGGAACTCGAAGGGAAGATAGGGCTGAGGGTTTTCTGGATGAAGAAGGTGCCTTTTTGTACCTAGTATGAATTCCTGATATCGGCTCTTCTGATTTCCGTTAGAAAATCGTGGGCTTTCCCGCAATTTAAGCGGCTGTCGGATTCAATTTCACTTGTTGTTTCTGAATGAAAGTGGAAATGCAAATTACGGGTTCTTCGCGCTTTTCTATCTGTGTTTCTTAGTGGCGGTTCTAGTTATGATACCTTTGAGGTGGGTTGGTCTTCTCATTGACAGTTGTAATGTGATTTGTTGATGGTATCAGACATGAGTTTTGCTGATCCTGATGCCAGCAGATGCTTGTTCTTGTTGTATTCCGTATGTGCATTTGTCTTGGGAAAGCCCTTTTATTTAGATGATAGTTTTTTGCAGTAGTCATACTGTCGTGATGGACATTCTGATTGAGCTTTTTCTCATATTTCTCAAGCTGTTCGTATCATGCATTAGTCAGCATTGCGTTGAAATGCAGGTGATGTTGATCTGATATAGTGTGTGGAATCTCTGTGTAGTTGAAAGGCAAATTGCTGCAATCAGGACAATTCGTGATGTAGAGGTTGAACACACTTTAACCGCTCTGCGTTTGCTCCGCTCATATTTTACTGAGGAACAGCTTCAGACTCCTGTATCACAATTCTTTGAACAAAACCTTCCCAACTTATCCCTAGAGAAAAATGAAGAAAATGGGCAGATAGAGGTGAAGCAGAAGGCAAAAGATGGCGAATCATTCATGGATAATGCAGATGGACTGGACATGCATTATTCTCTTTTACGGCGGCTGTCTATGGGTTTTCCTGACTTCTATGGCAGGTCGTCTTTCGGTGGCTATGACTTGCCTGGCACAGGTAGAGAAGCCCAAAGAGTTCTTTCATGCTAAATGCAACAGAGATTATCATGTGAATAGGTTAGAAATCGTAATGTTTTTTTTTTTTTTTTGTGGCAGTGTCACAAAGCCTGTTAGGAGCTGATAACCCACACTTCAAGGATCTTGTAAGTTCATAACTTCATATTAAGTTTTATCGGAGTGAAGTCAAAGTTTGCTCTTGTTTTTGGTTCTAGCTGAGAAACTTGTAGGTTTATCTTTTGTCCAGACCATTAAAGCTTTTCCCCAAATTGACAACTAGACTAGTAGCTTTAGAGCAAGCTGTAAATTTGTATGGCTTGGGTGCTGTCATAGATAAGGTGACAAATCGTTTTTTTTTTCTAATACAAAACTTAAGCAAAAACTGCTTCAGGTCAATGAATATAAAATAAATTGCTTTTTAATTTGCTCTGCAATTTCATGTTTTTAGGTTTCTCTTGGGCCTTCTGAGAGCCAGATATATGCAAGCCACGATGCTCTACGGACTCCAGGGGTATTTTACCGCTATGTGATTCGGTTATCTTTATATGTCAGCTGTACCTATGAAGCAAGGACACTATTATGATGGATGTTTTCATTAGAAGCCTAGAAGGTTAGAGTAACAATGGCCAGGAATAAGAATCAAATAGGACACTTGACCGGTTTCTGGTTGGGTGACTTGCACAAAGTATCGCACTTTACAATTTACATTCAAGCTTGCGGAAGATCAACCTAGTCAATTTTAAATATGCCCATAAGACGGGTATATTTACTTATAGGAGTAGAGACAACACACTAATTCCTTAAATATGAGTTTAAAATCAGCATTCTTACAGTTCAGTTTTCTCGGCAATCCAAGCACTAAACAGGGTGTTGTTAATGTTGCAGGTAAGCACGCAAAGGCTTTCTATTGGAATGACACCCAAATCCCGGAGGCCACCGAAACCTGGGGAGATGCTTCTTTCTGTGCATGGTTCACCTCTCGGCGTCTACAAAGAGGATAACGATATGGGAGCTATAAAAGGTATGTTTCGAGATCAAAGGTTATAGTTCTCTTATGCGCCAATAAATAGCCCGAGTATGGTGTTCTTATGTGAGGAACCGACTTGGTTGCAGAGGAAGACAGTTGAAGAAGGGGGGCTTCAAGGGTTGAAAAACACTTTCAGGTTGTAAGTTGGCAATGTTGTATAAATGGATGTGTTTTTGCAGAGGCATGCTGCTTTACTCTGTTCAAACCTTTTATTTAGATTTGCTTTACATACTCTTGTCTCTGTGTTAGATTTGCTCCGCCCTTTTCAGCTTCTGTAACTCCTCAGCATGACAAGTATCTGTTCTGTTATGTTCTTCCCTGCATTCTGTTGTAACTCATGTTTCAGGACATACAAAGAAATGAAGGTTTCTGATTAACAAACTGCTGATTTGGAAAAGAATTGCTTGATCTCAGCGTCTAACCTTCTTGATTCAGGCCATGAGCACATGTCTGTTGTAAAAGTCCAATTACTCTTTCAAATGGCTATATAATCCGGCAAAGGTCCTGTAAACGCCCCATTGGTCCCCTTTGTAGCAATAAGCCCAATTAAGAAGGGCATCGTTCCTGCTCCCAAAACAGCCTCGTGATAAGGCACCTTCCAGTAGAGGTATTGTAGAAGATATTGGAGGATCAGATATTGATGAATCCCAAGACTTAAGCTGAAGACAATATATCAAGCTGGATCTAAGGCTACGTATCACACTACATATATACATTTCCTTGTACACATCTAATCTCCCTTATTTTATGTTCTGTAAAATATCTTAGTTCCCATATACATATTGATGTAGTCTTTGTATATAACCTGTATCCTACGTTTGAATATAGGCAAGAGACATAATTCTTTTCTTCACATCCTCTAGTTTCTGATTCTCGGCCTTATACTAGACGAGGATCCTTTTCGGTTCTTAACTCAAATCTCTCTTCCATCTCTGTTTTTCACATGGTATCAGAGCCTCTCGAGGCCTGAAACCGATTCTCACTTTTCCCTTCATCTTGGTTTACACAGCATCTTTTGCAAAATTCTCAGCGTCAATGGACAGATCTATTGTCAAAATTATCCCCGTCACCCTCAATGGAGATAACTATCTTAGCTGGTCCAGATCAGCTAAAATGTTTCTCAAAAGCAAAGGGTGGTGGGATCATGTTTCGGTGGCTAGAGAGATGTCTGCCACAGACACAATGTCTGAAGCTGGATCTAAGTGGCTTCAGGAGGATCACACTGTCATCACCGTCTTACAGAGCTCGTTTGAAAGCTCTATTTTAGCCTCATTCAACCACATCGAGTCTGCCAAATTACTTTGGGACACTCTGCAGGAAGTGTTTGGAAATGTTTCCAACATTAATCGCATATATGAAGTCAAAACCAAGATTTACTCTCTTCGACAGGATGAGAAATCCTTCCAGATGCATCTTGGTGATTTCACTGCTCTCTGGTCTGAATTCAGAGAACTTAGAGCCCCTCCATCAGACAAGACAGAACTTGAGAACCATGAGCAAGACAAAATTTTTGCTCTGTTATTCTCACTGAATGGATCTTACAAGGCTCTGATTCAATCTATACTCCGGGAATCATCTCTGCCTACTTTCAATGAAATCTGTGCTCGCATTAAGAAAGAGGAAGGTGGCAACAGTCTGTTTCCTAGCCCAAGTGACATCGCTCACAAAGCCAGAGTGAATGCTGATGATTCAGCCTTCAAAGCTGGATACTTTCGCCCAGCAGATCGGAAGCCCATTTTTTGTGAGTATTGCAAGCGCAAAGGACACTCCAAAGACAAGTGTTGGCAGCTGCATCCTCATCTTAAACCACTGAGGTATACAAACCCGAAACCATCTCCTTTTGAAAATGCCAGGTTAGCAGGGGAGATTGTTCTTGAAACTCGAGAAGCAGGATTGCTGGTTCTGAACAACTCTCAGCAATCTACTTCTGGTGATTATGTCACCAAAGTGGACTTAGAGACAATGATGCAGAATCTGACAACCAATATTTCCAAGATCATTGCTGCTAAAGATCTCGGTAATGTATCCTTAACTTCTGTTGCTGATAGTCAGTTGATAATTGATTCGGGGGCTACAAACCACATGATATATAATCCAAATCTGTTATCTGATATAAAACAATCACATGGGTCGGTTTCCATAGCAAACGGACAATCTGTTCCTATTCAGGGAACTGGCACATTGAATATCTGTAACAAAGAAACTGATGCTTTGTATGTGCCAGACTTTACCAATAATCTTCTGTCCGTCCATAAGGTTGCTAGAGATCTCGATTGCTATGCTATCTTTGGTCCTAATGGTGTCAAATTTCAGGATATTAAGACTGGAAAAATTGTTGCTCAAGGAAGAACATCCAATGGTTTATACCTTCTCGAGCTGAACAATCCTACTGCAGTAGCCTTCAACTCCATATGGCATGATAGGCTTGGTCACCCTCATTCTCAAGCTTTAAAGTTGTTGTTTCCTCAAATTGTTTTCGATCATAAGACATGTGAATCCTGCATTTTAGGCAAACATTGCCGTGCAGTTTTTCCTATTTCAAAAACTATTTATGAAAGATGTTTTGACTTAGAACACTCGGATGTGTGGACTGCTCCCTGTTCTTCAAGGGAAAACTATAAATACTTTGTTAGTTTCATCGATGAGAAATCAAAATACACTTGGCTAACCATGCTTAAATCCAAAGGAGAAGTTTTTGATGCTTTTGTTAGGTTTCATGCCTACGTCCAGACGCAATACGGAGCTACTCTAAAGTGTCTGCGCTCGGACAACGGAGGCGAGTATGTCAACTCACGGTTCCAGCAGTACTTCTCGCACCATGGCATCGAACACCAATCATCATGTGCCCATACCCCCCAACAAAATGGGGTGGCTGAAAGAAAAAACAAACATCTTCTGGAAGTTGCCAGAACTTTAATGTTTCACCGACACATTCCGAAACGGTTTTGGTGTGATGCTGTCATGACTGCTTGTTTTTTGATTAACAGATTACCAACCAAAGTTCTGCGTGATATGTCTCCTTTCGAGGTACTGAACAATTCTAAACCTTCCCTTGATTTTCTGAAAATATTTGGTTGTTTGTGCTATGTTCTTGTGCCCGAAACTCAGCGGAATAAGCTGGATCCGAAAAGTATCAGGTGCGTGTTTCTTGACTATTCTACTCGACAGAAAGGGTACAAGTGTTATCAACCGGAAACTCGTAGATTATTTGTTTCTCGAGATGTCAGGTTTCTTGAGGATGTAAGTTACTTTGATCAACGAGATTGGAAGAATTTGGAGGATCTCTCTGAATCTGTTCCAGATTACAGCAACACCCTGAAGATCCTTCTTCATCAAGATGACTACATTTCCACACCTCCTGGCCCACACTCTACGCCAGGTAACACATCTGAAACTCTGATTCTTGATCACATTCGTAATCCTGCTTGTGCAAACAGGGAACCAGAGGTTGAAACAGAGGAACAATCTGATCATCAACCAGAAACAGCCATCGACAATCACCATAATGAACCTCATAACGTCCCACAGCATGATTCACATCCTCCAAACAGAGAAGTCAGACCCAACAGATTGGATGTTGCCCCATTACGCAGAAGCAACAGACACAGAAAGCCTTCCTACAAACTGAGGGATAATGCGAACCTGGTAACTCACCCTATCCAACATTTCTGCTCACTTACTCATTTGCCTCTTACCCATCAGTGTTTCTTGAGCAAAATCGATCAGGATTCTGAACCTCAGACTTTCGAAGAGGCTAAGAAACATGCAGTTTGGCGTAAGACTATGGAGGATGAGCTCTTGGCATTGCAAAACAATGACACGTGGGATATTGTCCCTTTGCCCAAGGACAAGAAACCTGTCGGATGCCGTTGGATTTACAAGATCAAATACTTAAGTAATGGTGATATTGAAAGACATAAAGCCCGGCTAGTAGCGAAAGGCTACACACAAACCTATGGGGAAGACTACAGTGATACATTTGCACCCGTTGCGAAACTACCCACGGTAAGAGTAATTCTGTCAATCGCTACTAATCTCTCTTGGGAGCTTTGGCAGATGGATGTCAAAAATGCTTTCCTCCAAATTGATCTAGAGGAAGAAATTTATATGCGCTTACCTCCTGGTCTTCTTGATCCATCACAAGCAAACAAGGTGTGCAAACTTAAGAAATCGATATATGGACTCAAACAATCCCCTCGCCAATGGTATGCAAAGCTTCATGATTCCTTATCACATCATAAGTTCAAAAGGAGTGAAAGCGACCATTCTCTCTTCACTTCACATTCCCAAAGAGGTATTGTTGTAGTCTTAGTATATGTCGACGACATCATTATCACGGGTAATGATTCTACAGGTATTAAAGAAACCAAACAATTTTTACATCGCGCTTTTGATATTAAAGATTTGGGAGAGCTAAGGTACTTTCTTGGAATAGAAGCTTCCTGAACTCCAGAGGGATTATTTCTATCTCAAAGGAAGTACACACTTGATTTGTTGAAAAGTGCAGGCAAATTAGGGGCAAAGCCGGTGAAGACTCCAATTGAAGCAGGCTACAAGTATCTTCCAGAGGGGGGAGCATTTGAAGATCCAGAACGTTATCGACGACTTGTTGGTAAGCTTATATACTTAACAATTACGAGACCTGACTTGTCGTTTGCTGTTGGACAGGTCAGTCAATTCATGCATTCTCCATGCCAACGCCATTGGATAATGGTGGAACGTATTCTCAAGTACCTCAAAGGATCTCCCGGAAAAGGCATCTGGATGAACCGCAACAACCGAACGGACATCATTGGCTACTGTGATGCTGACTGGGCGGGCGACCAACAAGACCGAAAATCAACTTCGGGATACTGTATGTTTATCGGGGGTAACCTAGCTACGTGGAAAAGCAAGAAACAAAATGTGGTTGCTAGATCGAGTGCAGAGGCTGAGTATCGTTCGATGGCGACCGCCACCAGTGAGCTCGTGTGGCTTAAGGCCTTACTCGGTGATATTGGGCTCCCAATAACCACACCTATCCCGCTTCATTGTGACAATCAAGCTGCTATACACATTGCCGCTAATCCCGTATTTCACGAACGGACAAAGCACATAGAGATTGATTGTCACTTTGTGCGGGAGAAGGTTACTCAAGGCATCATTTCTACACCTTACACGAGAAGTGAGGACCAACTTGCGGATTTACTCACTAAACCTCCGAATGTTAAGAATCACGACGCTTTACTATCCAAACTTGGTCTTGTTGACATCCACAAGCCAAACTTGAGGGGGGATGTAGAAGATATTGGAGGATCAGATATTGATGAATCCCAAGACTTAAGCTGAAGACAATATATCAAGCTGGATCTAAGGCTACGTATCACACTACATATATACATTTCCTTGTACACATCTAATCTCCCTTATTTTATGTTCTGTAAAATATCTTAGTTCCCATATACATATTGATGTAGTCTTTGTATATAACCTGTATCCTACGTTTGAATATAGGCAAGAGACATAATTCTTTTCTTCACATCCTCTAGTTTCTGATTCTCGGCCTTATACTTGATCCTTTTCGGTTCTTAACTCAAATCTCTCTTCCATCTCTGTTTTTCACAGGTATCCGCTCTCTATTAAGTCGGTTTCGTAGTGCAAACGCATTGCATATCAAAGCCTCTGATAGAAGCAGAGACTACTACCCCACACACTCGTGGTCAAAGAATTGAAACATTACAGCAGAAGGGGGAGGTATCAACGCACGGAACCAAACGCCATCAAGCTCGGTGGCAAATAAGAGTTTCAACATTTACAAAAAGAATACAACTCTCTTCATCCATCCTCTTACCAGACTCCAAAAGGAATCCCACGAGAAAATCAACTACAGTAAACAAAGCAGCCCCCGCTGAAACGAGCTGAAACATGGAGACATTTGTCCAGTGCCTTTAAGAGGTAGAAGAAAAGGCTACTAACCATGGCTCATGAGAATGCGTGAACAACTCGCTGGTGGGTTTATACTTTATAACCAGATTTGCAGCCAGTGAAGGATTGGACCGAAGCATGTCTTGAAACAGACAGCAAAGGAAAGACTGTCATTACATTCGATCGCTTATGATAAACTCTTCTGCATTGTCTTTTTGCCCGGTTGAATCAGTCATGTTCTTGCTTTGCGAATCTGAACCAGGGAGCGTAGACCCAAAAGCCTCGAGTGCTTCCAGGAAGAATCTCTTATTAGGTACAACCCCGTCTTTCTCCATTTGCTTCATCAGCGTCTGCACAAGCTCCTTCATGTTTGCTTTAGTGTATGCTTTGTACAGAAGCTTATATGTTGAAGCATCTGGACAAACTCGAGAAGCACGAGCATTCTGGAAAAGCTCATGTGCTTCATGGTGAAGACCATTCAGACAATAAACTTCAAGCATCGCATTGAGTGTGGACACCTTCAACTCCTTTTCTGATTGGACAATCTCATCAAATATCTCCCTAGCTTTGGAAACGCAGTCACAGTAACCGTACATGGTTATGAGACATTCATATGTAATAAAGCTTGCTCTGTATTTCATATCGTTCATCTTTTTGAATACCAACTCCGCCTTTTCTCTCAGACGAGCTTTCCCATAATTTATAATCATCGAATTGAATGTAGGCAGAGTTGGCCTCTCCTTGGACCGAAGCAAACTCCTGAACACTTGCTCCATCTTTTCGAACTCTTGCTTCTTCCCATACGAATCGATCAGCAAATTGAATGTGATGATATCTGGCTTGCATTGGTTACTCTTCATAAGAGCAAGAATAGACTCCATTTCCTTGATCATCCCATTCTTTCCGTATGCATCCATCACCCCATTAAAGGTGTAGATGTCAGGAGAAACTATGCTACTATCCAAATCTTGGAGCAAAGAATTCACTTGGTCTACTCTTCCCGCCTGAGCAAAGGCCCTCAAGAGGATATTATACGTCACAATGTTGGGCTGACACCGTTCCATCGTCTTCATTTTGTTGAAGTACCCGAGAGCTTTCTCCAGAGCTTTCGCCTTGTCTCGAGTGTGGAGATGTGCTGTTATAAGGGCATTGTAAACAGATGCATCAGGACGGCATCCACTGTTTCTCATCTCGGAAAAGAGCCACATCGCCATCCGAGTTTGACCCTTCTTTCCCATGACTGATATCAACTTCGAATACACGCCATTATCCGCAATGTACCAACGCTGCTTCTGCATCCACCTGAACACCTGAAGAACCAACCAAGTTACTGAGATGTAAGTGAAATCATGGTCATGAAGGCAACAGCTAACGATCTAAAAGAGCTTCATTCCGGAGAAGGCTATACCCAAACAACAGCAACCCAGAGGCTAAAAATCCAAACTTTCGTTCTAAAATTCAAGGGTTCAAAGACCCAGAAGCTGAAAACAAAATAACGCATTACCCAGAAGCTAAAAGTCACAAATTTAAGAGAGAGAGAAATCCAGAAGAGAAGGCAACAATGGTTAGAAGCAAACCTCGAGGCATTGCAGCCACTTGTCGCTCTTGCCAAGCTCTTCGAAAAGCATAAAGCAGTGTTCGCACCTTACGACCTTGACGTACTTATCAAGCGTCTTGACCAGTGGCTCTTTGTCGCTAAACCTCCCCATCAGGCTCCGGACCAGGACTCTGTTATCTCTCTCCGAAATCTCTTTCTCCGCCAGTTTCCTCTTTGATGGTGTCGCCGCACAGATAATCCGCATCGTCAATCTCCTCGCGCGGGATTTCGATGGAAGACGAAGCCATATGTGGTCAGAATTGTAATTTTGAGAGGAATTATGTGCGCAAGAGGACACGAAATCGGAGAAACGCAGAGACGAATATGATGACCATTTCACTGCCATTATTTTGGTGGGTTGCAGATGAAAAGGGAACGAGGTAGGGGTTCTGAGTTCTAACGGGTATAGATAAGGAGCACGAACGCAAAAAAAAAATGTTCACTTGAAATCTTTATATTAGTGAAAAAAATTGGACCGTTAAGATCGGGGGATTGAACCCGACGTGAATCGAACACGCAACCTTCTGATCTGGAGTCAGACGCGCTACCATTGCGCCACGGATCCGGGTGTGAAGGCTATTAATAATCATTTAGTAGATTGTGATAAACTCCAAAAGAAAAACGTAAGTAAATACGCCATATGACTAACTCAAATCAGACGCTACTAGAAGTAATACAAGAATGTGATTTGAGTTGTCCGAGTAATACGCCATTTGTGCGCGTGTTGTTTTTTACGAATGTCCGAGTTGCACTCGTCAAGAGATGAATCGGGGTGGTTGTATACATTGATGTATAATACCTCTAATTTAGGAAAGAGAGTTTGCATCAGAAGACCATTGCGAGTCTTTCCCTTCTTAAAATAGAAGACAACAAAGAGCCGGAAAAAAATGAAACTAGAAACAATAAATTAACAAAAAGACAAAACCGGCAACAAAAGGGTAATGCAAATGTTGTCATTTTAAAAAAAATATAAAATAAAAAAATACTCATGCAGCCATAGAGGCCCTCCAAACAAGACGAATTTTAGAAAACCCCAAATCTCGAAAGGGGTTAAATTAAAACTCCATTAACCAAAGAAAGAAAACAAGGGACGGACGTCCGTGCGATCGAGAAGGGGGAAGCCACCGTACGTACGTATGGGGGAGCCAAAGCCAAGAGTGAGCTGCGCTTCCTCCTCCACCACCGATTCATCCGCCGCCTCTCCATTGCCGTCTCCTCCTCCTCCTCCTCTGCCACGTCACCAACCGGTCACCCTCGTCCAACCTTCCCAGAAGAAGAAGAACAAAACTAAAGTCTTTCGGGTTTTCCGCTCCGTTTTTCGATCTTTTCCCATCATAACCCCTGCCTGCAAGATCCCCGTCCTCCCCGGCGGCGGCCTCCCCGACCCTTACCGAGGCTCCAGCGGTTCCCGAGTCACCGGAACCCTCTTCGGCTACCGGAAGGGCCGAGTCAGCCTCTCCATCCAGGAAACCCCTCGTTGTCTACCCTCTCTCGTCGTCGAGCTAGCCATGCAGACGATGGTTCTTCAGAAGGAGCTTAGCGCGGGGATGGTGAGGATAGCGCTCGAGACGGAGAAACGAGCCGATAAAGAGAAGATTCGGATAATGGATGAGCCCTTGTGGACGATGTATTGCAACGGGAAGAAGACGGGTTACGGCGTGAAACGTGACGCGACGGAGGAGGATCTGAACGTGATGGAATTGCTAAGGGCCGTGTCGATGGGAGCGGGAGTCTTGCCGGGAAACTCAGAGGCAGAGGGTCCAGATGGCGAGATGGCGTACATGAGGGCATACTTCGAACGCGTTGTCGGATCCAAAGATTCCGAGACCTTTTACATGTTGAGTCCGGAAGGGAATAACGGACCCGAACTTAGTATTTTCTTCGTCAGGGTTTGAGTTTTTTGTTCCTTTTGACAACCTTGTATACGGTGTACTTGTATCTACGTACGTACGGAAGAGGCATGCATGCATGGATCTTGATAGTTACGTATGGTTGAGGAGAGATGAAATGTACGATAGTTTTTCTTGGTGGCGAGGGTTTCGGGGTTTGAAGGAAGGATGACTCATGTATTGATCGTAGGTTATAATAAATCAGCCAATGAGATTTTTTTGTTGTTGCTTTGAATACGTGCAAATAACTCACTACTTGTAACTTGTAAGCATAGAGTTCAGATGGAACTGGACGTACGAGAAAAATCTCATTTATGTCGTCACTGAGACAGTTTTGACTAAGAATGTCGAAACGAGCCCGACTCACGAGTTGGCTCGTGGCTCGTCAGAAAACGAACGATTTGAACCATAATTTTTTCAGTTTATTAAAAAACGAGCCTACGAGTCACACTCATTGAACACGTGGCGGTAAGGAGCCAGTTCGGCGAGCTAGTGAACTGCTCAACGAGCTGATTTTTTTTTAAAAAAATAAATTTATATAAAAAAACTCTAATATAATTTTATATTCTTTTTTTCTCATATCATTCATATGATATTATAAATATCCTAATTATTATGGTGGTGATAATTTAAAATATTAAATGAAAATTTGAGTATAAATATAAAAATGTTATTGAAATATATTTTGTTGTTATTATCTATTTAAATTATTTTTTATTAAACTATTATTAGATTATTTTTTTATCTTTTGAAATCTCAATCAATATTTTTTTTATGTAGTTTATGATATTGAAGTTTTATTATTATTTTAGGTATTTATTTAAATTTATATTTAAATTTAGAATAAATATAAATAAAAAATTATTATATATTTCTAACCCAACGATGCGAACGATTTGAGCCGATATTTTTCTGGCTCATTAAAAAATGAGTCTAACGAACTGAATTCAAAACGATATGAGCCAAATGAGTCGAGTTAAAAACGATCCGACATCCTAATTTTGATGCATTATCCACACGCATCAAAACTATTTTATACACATATTCGGTTTATCTTTTTTTTTGTATGAAATATTTTTTTCCTGTTAAGAATTATGTAGTTTCATTATTCTCTAAGATTATATTTAAAATTAAAAATTTATTTATTTGGTATTTGAATTTTGTTTCCATCTTGTGAGAACGTGAGCGACGGGGACTCAAAAAAAATAAATAAATAAATAATATTATTAATAATAAGAGGTAGAGATTTAGCTTGGAACACGCCACGATAATGTCCTCCACAGCAACCACTCCCGCCGACACGAGCGTCGAATACCCATCACCGGTAAATTCTCCGCCGTCGTCGCCAATTCCGTCATTGCCATTCGACGTCGTGTTGAACTGCGTGGCGCGCATCCCGAGATGTCATCACTCGACCCTCTCTCTCGTCTCCAAGAGCTTCCGGTCACTCCTCACTTCGCCGGATTGCTACACTTTGCGCTCCGATCTCGGCTTCTCCGAACCTCTCCTCCATGTCTGCTTCTCTACTCCTGATCTCTCCTCCCGCTGGTTCACTCTTCGCCGCACCCCGCATCGAACCCTACACGGCGCGACGAGTATGAAGTCCACCGGCAATCGTTTGGTCCCCGTCTCGTCGATTTCGTCTCCGACAAGGTTGGGATCTTCCGTTGTAGCTGTGGGTTCGGAGATTTACGTTATCGGCGGATCAATTGATGGCGTGCCCTCTTCGAGCGTGTGGGTTCTCGATTGCAGATTCCACACTTGGCGCCGAGGCCCCGATATGGGTGAGCCCCGCGAATATGCTGCCGCTTGCGACGTTGAAGGGAAGATACACGTGATAGCTGGGTGCGAGTCTGATAAGAACAAATGGGTCGAGACGTTCGATCTAAAGACTCAATCTTGGGAGTCCGTGACAGGAAAAGACACGAATCTCGGCGGTAAGAGAGCAAGCGGAATCGCAGTGTTTGATGGAAAGGTTTACTTCATGGATGAGAGGAACAACTTCTTCTACGATCCCAAGAAAGGTACATTGGAGACGGCGGCGCAAGCGGGGCTGTTTGTGCATTGGAGGTGGGGGAGCAGGAGTTGGTGCGTGGTCGGTAATGAATTGTACTGTTGTGACACTATGGGGAAGATAAGGGGTTACGATATGGAGGAGGGAGTGTGGAGAGAAGTGAAGGGTGTAGAAGCACTGCGCAAGTTTCTTTGGCTCTGTGCTGCAATGGCGTGCCATGGTGGAAAGCTGGTTGTCTTCTGGTACGGCCACTGGGACAGCGGCGGTCGGGGGAAAAGCGAGATTTGGTGTGCCGAGATTGCATTGGAACGGCATTCCGACGGAGAGATTTGGGGTTCGGTTGAGTGGTTTGATGTTGTCCTCACAGTAGACAATATGTCTCAGATTCCGCATTCCTTGACCGTTTCAGTTTGATTAATCGTGAGAGGGCATTGAATTCTCAGTCAGGTTCTGTAATATTTGATGAACTGCTTCCGTCAAAAAAAACATCATTCATTATATCTTGAAATCTCAATGGTATTGATTAAGCCAACATTAGACATGCGGGTACCATCCTTTTTTCTGTTGTATAAACTCACTCTCATATTATCAGGCGGACTCCTCAATGGCTTGAATGCACTCGAGTACAGTCGATTTGTTCGTCATTGCAGCCATTAGGGCTTCGTGGATCGCCTTGTTGTTCTTCAGCAGAGATCCCGCGTACAGAACCTGCGTTTTGTTGTAACGTTTTATGTCTGAATGCAAGCAGTTCACTGTCCAAACCAAGTAAGTGTTCTGAGAGAGAACTTACGGCCCATCTGGTGAGATTTTGCTGCTGATCGTTGCTAAGTTTGGGAGTGCTTCTGTTTATGAATCTCTGCAGAAAACCGGTTTTCCAGATCAGATTGGAGGTGCTGGTATAGAGAAGAGATTGGAGGAGGAACTAAAAGAACCTGAAGAGTGAAGAGATCCGCGGACTGGCCAACCACTTTGTCATACTTGAGCCCCTCTGCCGTAAGTCCAGCCATTGCTATGACTGCCAGCCTGAAATCGAGAAGAGCTAATTTTGTCTTACAGTCACTCCACAGTAGCAAATGGGCAAAAAAAAGTGAACACAAGGGTTCAATACCAGCTTTGAAAGCAAAGCCTTTTGAACTTGATTTTTTCTTCTGTTTGATCAATCAAAAGCTTCTTTGGAATGAACAATACTGTACCTATCGAGCTCCTTTGCATCAAGCTGACCGCTGTATATCAATTGCTCTAGTCTTTTATCGATGAGATTGACGTGTTCTTTCCCAATGTCTAAGGAATACCCAAGTATCGGAAGTCCAAGCAAATAAGCGACTGCAAGAACGATGAATGGATCTTGGATTTGGATGGCTGTCTGGATAACTTTCAAATCAATGGGTCTAAGGGTGTTGTTACCTAAGAAGTGGGCAGCTTCATGGCTGGCTATCCGTTCTTGATAATCAGGGAAGAAGGTTGAAAACCCTGAGATAGCAGCTTGAAGAAGCCTACAGAGATGGGACAAAAGAACAGAGAGACATAAAAGCAAAGCTCAGGTAAACACATGTACTGGGCAAATCAACAAGATATTGCAGAATGCGGTTTGTTCTTACCCTGGGGAAATGCTTCCGACGGCTAAAACCACCAAAGAAATGCTCCCAATCAAGTAAGGTAGAAAGAAGCCCCAATCCTGTCAAATACGCCATAGTAAGCCATCCAAAAACAGAGTACTAAGAAGAAGAAGAAGAAGAAGAAGAAGAAGGGATGTTGGGTTTACCCCAGGAAGCTGGCCAGCGAGGACAGCTAAGAAGCTAGTTGTTCCGACCACTGTGAAAAGAAAAGCCGCCTGTATTACACAAAACCTCAACAGACAAGAGTTAAAAAATGTCTCAGCTAATCTTTGAGTTGGGCATTAAGACAACAAGAAGTCCACAGCATTATAAACTCACATCGTTCCTGACACTAGGGATTGCGAGGTTCTCTGCATTCTTGATTCCCAGAGTTGTGAGCTCCCGAAGCGATGTCTGATGGAATTTATCCATTTGATTTGAACGTAAGAAAATAGAACGTGGCATTGATCAGAACCACAACGGAGGGTAGAGAGATAGATATACACCGTACGGCGGGAGAGGTATGGCTGAGAGCTCCATTTCTTTGCCCAGCCTGCTTCACTCAACCGATCAAGAGCTTCCTTCACCCCATCACTATCTTTCTGCATCATCATCATCATCATCATCCCATTTTACCAAAATCCAGAAAAGAACCCACTTTCGAAATGTGTACGTAATAAATGTATCGATTTTGTAGTTATATATACGAAATCTGGGCAGAGTTCATCCAAAAAACAAAAAAGATGTTTGTGCAAGTAAGTGAACAGAAAAGGAAGGACCTTGTTAATGGCGGAATCGAGAGAAGTGAAATCGATTCCAGGTGCAGCGGGGGAAGACGAAGACGCCGAAGCCGCTGAAGGAAACGGAAGGTATCGACTGTGGAAACGGAAGCTCCATTGAGTTCCCTTGAAACTGTAACGCCGATGAAACGAAGAGAACGGAGTAAAACACGATGAAGAAACAGAGGCAACAGATAATGTAACCATAGTTTCTGAAATTGGAGGAGATTCTGAGGAAATCTTGATTTGCTTACGAACGCAGAACGTTTGGACATCCTTTTCCCCCAGTTTTCTTTGTGACTGGGACGAAGGGAAGGGAAGAGAGCGCGTGGACTTCTACTCGCCACGTAGTGTTCGCTGCCACATCAGCAAATAAAATAATAAGAAAAAATACAAAAATGTAACTGTTGAGAGTGGGATTTGAACCCACGCCCTTTCGGACCAGAACCTTAATCTGGCGCCTTAGACCAACTCGGCCATCTCAACTTTTGCTTTTTATTTGAAAATAATTAAATTATCTTAATCTACCAATTGGGCCCGATAGGCCATCACCCAAACCTCTTTCTAACAAAAATGTAATGGGCCGTATCAGTTTGGCCCATTATCTACCCCTCCTCCCACATGTTGCAGAGCACACGTCACACAGAGACCTCGATCGAGCAGAGACTCGCTCATTGTCGGGATTCATGGCGGCCTCCAACACCGATGACGCACTAGAGACCCCGTCGCCGCCTCCACTGCCGTTGGTTCCATCTCTGTCATACGATGTTGCTCTGAATTGCATCGCTCGTGTCTCGAGATTTGATCATCCGAACCTCTCTCTCGTCTCCAAGAGCGTTCGATCTGTCCTCGCTTCGTCTGAACTCTACGTGACTCGCTCCTTCCTCGGCTTCTCCGAACACTTCATCTATGTCTCCTTCCGACTCCCTCCTGGTCCTTGTTCCCGGTGGTTCACTCTCCGCCGCAAAACCCACCGGACCCTACCCACCGCGACGAATTCGAATAGGACTGGTTTTTTGCTTGTTCCCATTCCATCGCCGCCTTCTCCGCCTCCGGTTGGATCCGCCTACGTTGTGGTGGGTTCTGAGATTTACGTGATCGGTGGATGCACCGGTGATGTCCCTTCATCGAGTGTGTGGGTTCTGGATTGCCGATTTCACACGTGGCGTCGAGCCCCCAACATGCGGGTGGCTCGGGAATTCGCTGCTGCGGGTGTTGTCGATGGGAAGCTGTATGTGATCGGAGGATGCGTGGTGGATAATTGGGCGAGATCCGTAAACTGGGCTGAGGTTTTCGATCCAAAGTCGCAAACTTGGGAGCCAGTGCCGAGCCCTGACGTGGAGGTGCGTGAGAAGTGGATGCACGCGAGCGCGGTGATGGAGGGGAAAGTTTACGCCATGGCCGATAGGAAGGGTGTGGTTTACGAGCCGAAGGAAGGGAGATGGGACGTGCCCGAGAAGAGGCTGGACTTGGGTTGGAGAGGAAGGGCGTGTGTGATTGAGAACGTCTTGTTTTGCTACGACTACGTGGGTAAGATAAGAGGGTATGATCCCAAAGGGAGAGTCTGGAGAGAACTGAAGGGCGTGGAAGGGCTGCCTAAGTTTCTCTGCGGGGCTACGATGGCGAATTGTGGTGGAAAGCTGGCGGTTTTGTGGGAAGGAAAGAAGGGGAGTGGGGGTTCTGGGAAGACAGAGATTCGCTGTGCAGAGATAGCAGTTGAAAGGCGTGGAGAAGGAGAGATATGGGGGACACTCTTGTGGTCCGATGTAGTGCTTACAGTCCCCAACGCGTCTGCCATTGTTAGCTGTGTAGCCGTTAATGTCTGATGATATAATGAGATGGGCTTGAACTGGGAGTGGCATGAACAGTTAGCTGATCTTCATGTTCGAGCATTTCTTGTTTTGCCTATGACATTTGGTACCTTCTGTTAGTGTTTGGCTTTGACTATTTTACAGAAATAATTCAAGTGTCCCTGGGATTTGGCAAATGTAATGTACTTGTTCTTCTTCTCTATCCAATCTTGTGTGGTGTATATATAAAATGATGCCCATAGAAACCTAATCTGAGCAAGAGGGATACAAATTGTGTATATATACAAATGTTACCAATCATCCGCATTTCAAAATGACACTGTTGAATCCCGCATCCAAAAATCAGAAAGGGGAAAAAAATCTGACAATGCATATTATTGATAAGTTCTTGCCATCTGCCACAAGAAAAACTAGAGAGGTCTCTCGGCAATAATCAATCATATACCGTCTTCACAGTTCAGGAAGCTCAGGACTTGCTCAAAGGCCTGTTGATATGTGAGCTTCATGTTAAGCAAACCGACCAAACCGGTATATATATATATATATATAGAGAGAGAGAGAGAGAGAAGAGGGATTGACAAACCTCGACGGCTATTTCGGCCGGAGAGAGATCTGAGATGTCTCCGTAGCCGAGCTTGGCTGCAATATCTGCACAACATGAATACCATATTCAGCTAGTTGAAGATAAAAAGTTACAGAAGGGTTTAAATGAATGGGAAGAGGTGATGTATTTCCTCAACATCTCTTCAAATGGCCAAAAGATTGGAGCAAAAGAACTGAAAAAGGATGATGGGTCGGAAAGGACATTTACTTTCCAAGGAGACTGTAGCGTTTGCGTTTGTGTATGCTTCACCCCTCTCTTCCCAAATCGTCGAAAGGCGCTTGAAAGCCTACATGCAATACATCACTCTCTTGCGTTTGTGTTTTTATCATAACATACAAGTACAAGTACAAGTAAAAGAAAGGGCATACCACTGTGTATGCATCCCCTGATTCTTGGTGTAAGAGTGGCCGTGAATCAGTTCCTACTGCAGCAATTCTGTGAGCCAAGGCTTCCAGTGGAACATCTAACCAGACGCTGATTCCTTTATGCATATACTTCCTGACGATGATGTAGTTATAATCGGATGATGCATCTTATAATGTAAAAAAGAGTAATGAATGCCCGAATAACAAGATCTTGGCCCCAGTTCCATAGTTCCGACAGGCTGAGAGAAAACAAACCAGTTAACGGGTCTTATAACCGCACCCCCGCCAGTTGAAACAACGACTCGATACATAAGAGAGAGCTTCTTCAGCGTCTCAGTCTACAAGGAAACCAATGCTTAAGAACGTAAACCCAACAAGTTTATCTCGAGTGACGAGATTCTCAATGCTAGAAGAATCCATGATCTTTTGAATCATGTTCGAATCCCAAGCTAACCTCCTTTTCTCTAAAGAAACTTTCTCCATAATGCTTAAAGATCTCAGCAACAGTGCTCTCGTTCATTGCCTGCTCGATCAAAGTGTCACTGAAAACATCCCAAATAAATGAACAAAGCCAATACGTTTCCATTCATTTTCCAACGCAGAATACACAGTTGAAGGGCAACGGCATACCAATCAAAGAATGAATAACCAAGTGCTTTTGACATTAGCTTGCCCACCGTTGTCTTTCCAGAACCCATCATTCCTGCATCCGATTGGGAATACGTTGTAATTGTCTACATTTAGCAAACAATAACCAATCGTATAAACAGGATTAGAGGAAAGAAACTAACCGACAAGATATATAGATTGTCCATTTAAGTATGGCTTCACCTCCTCTGCTTTTCTCTGCAAAGCTCAAGCATCCAGGGAGATTCAATACGAGATTATGGTAATTGACGACACTGTCTTGAAGCTGTTAAAGGGTATTGTTACTTGCCTTCAAAATTAATTCTTCATCAAAGCGAGAACGAACAATTCCAGCCTCCAACACGGAAGCTACAGACGAGAAAAGACAGAAATGGATCTCCACCACCATCAAATGATGAACATTGGAAGCAACCAGATCACAGAATGAAACACATCACATGCAAAAGATATAAACTTTGAAACCCAGTTGAACCCGGCAATAGGCAAGAATGATTCTCACATGTTTTTGAATCATTATAGGTACAAGAGATCATAGACATCAAACTATTCAAATGCTTTTTCGTGACAAACCTGGAGAATTCTTGTCAGAACATGAAACCCCTGAAGAAACTGATCGATGCCGATCGCTTCTTTCGCCCGGCTGCAAGCGAGCTACAGCAAGAGATTTAAGCCTTTTCTCTTCCCTTGCTTGCAGAGACAACCGCAAAGAACCACCCTGCTTCCCCCCGAACTTTCTCCGATCAATCCATAACGGGTACTGAAACCTCTGAGCAGTAGCTGCTTCCATGATTAGCCGTTACAAGAAAGAAGCTGAGCGCTTGAATTGAACTCGGAATCCCTGCAAAAGCAGACAATGCAATTGGAAATTCTAGCAAGATTCTGACCAAAGCAAAAAGCTGAAACTTAAGCCGAGTGGCACCGCCTGAATACCAGTTCTCCCAAAAATGAAACTAAAAATCAAGACTTTAAACGCAATCAAGAAAGCAAAGATCCTCCCAATAAATTATGAGGTGAGGCCAAAACTCTCATTGGTTTCGCTACGCGACAGAAGTGAATCCGACCAGAAACACAAACTGAATTCAACCACCATAAAATTTACACAATGCCCGTTGAGAAGCTAATCTAATTCGGCTAAAAAAACCCCACATTTAGAGACACTAATCCAGAAAGAACAATAGCACGCTCGATACTCCAGGAAATTTTCCTTTTCCTTTTCAATTTTACCACCGACCAAACAGAAAACTGACGGCTGAAACCGCCTCAGGACACCAACAAGGTCAGAAACAGGAGACCCAGAAAGAAATACCTGAGATTATCCTTCGCCGGCGGCGCTAACTATACGAAAAGAGAACCCTTAATATAAAAGTCTCCACCTTTATCTCTCACCCAGATCGATTCATTTGATTTGTGATTTTTTTCTTCTTAATCTGTTCTAATAATAAACAATATGAAGGCGGAAGGGGTTGAGTAAGGGTGAACAGTGATTAGCATCCTTTTGATTGCAAACTTAACCTAACAAACATGTTTTTTTTTTTGTAATTATATCGTTGAAGGTCGGTGGTAGGTGGTAACTGTAATAAGATAGGTTTTGTGATAGGAAAATAGACATGGATGGTGTGTGTTTCTCCTGACATGGAAAGAAACCACTCTCCCTCCCATGTTCCCTCCTCTCCTCTTGGTCCGAGTTTTCTTTTTCTGCCCTTCTTCGTACTCTTTAATAATTCACCGAAAACCCTCCGCGCCTGCCAACTCAAATAAAAATGATGATGTGGCAATAACTTGGTTTTCAAGTTATGTAGACATCATCAAAATTATGACACATCACCATTACAAACAAAAATAAATTACATAATTATTTAAATTAATTTATATACATATAAATTCACATATATATATATTAAATATAAAATTATTTATAACTAATAAAACATATATATATATATATATATATTATAAATTACATTAAAAATAATATATATATATACATATTATTTGTTAATATATATTGGTATATGTTAGTTATAATTATTTTTATTATAATATGTATATTAGTTATATATGTATATGTTATATATATAACTACAATATATATATATATATATATATATATATATTGTATAGTATAACTAATACATATACATATTACAACAAAAATAATTATAAGTAATACATACACATATAATTATAAATAATATATATATATATATGTTTTATTAGTTATAAGTAATTTTATATTTAATATATATTTAATATATATATATATATGTGTGAATTTATATATATATAAATTAATTTAAATAAATTATGTTATTTATTTTTATTTAAAATGATGATGTGTCATAATTTTGATGATGTGTATATAACTTGGAAGCCAAGTCATTGCCACATCATCATTTTTGTTTGAGTTGGCAGACACCGGGTGTTTTCGGTGAATTATTAACAAGTTTGGAGTTTTTTTGGTTAATCATACTAAGTATAGGGTTTAATTGGTAAACAAAAAAGTACATGGTTTTTTCGTTGACGTGGGAAGAGTACAGGGTTTTTATGGCGATTTCTCCTTAATTATTTATACAAATTATTATACCCGTGTTATGTAAATGTAATAGTATCGAAACAATAATTCATTAAACACCGACAGTTGGTGGTCTAATGGATGACATGTGACAAAGTCATACTGAGGGACGTAATTCGATTCTATTGGTGGAAATCGATAGTAATTTTTAGACTAAAATGATCCATATACAAAGGGTGATTCTGAATCTAAGATAGATGTAGTTGGATGAGAGATGTCGGTTACTTATTAAAAAAAAGAGTAAAGCTAATAACAATAAAATGCCAAAGAAGATAATGACTTAACATCAAGAGCCCAAGTAGTTGTTGGGTGGGCTTCGTTAGAAGCCCAATAACCGGAGATAACCGGTACGAATCGATCAGGCCCGGTTTTTGTTCTCTCGCATCAACTTATATAGTATAATCAGACGGTGAGATACTTATTTCTGGATGCATCCCTTTAAAAGAGTTGTAACTCGTAGGCTTTGATGGTATGTCGAGTACGTGAATTTTGTGATAATTGTCACCTCAACACTATTTGGACCGACTAAATGGTATTATAATGAATTCATTAGATATTTATAAAAAAAGATAGTAGCGCATGCGTACCCAAAAAGGGAATCAAACATTAATACTTTCATGTTTTGTAAAGGGGCTGGATACATGTTTACATGGTGTGTGTCTGTGTCAAACTTCTTAGCAAAGAAGGAAGGCTTTTACTATTAGTCTTCTCATTTTCAATAAATTTCACGTCGCTTTCGATGCCCGGGGGGGGGGGGGGCA